TGGGGCGGGCGGGCGGCGGGGGGAGGTGAGGGGGGCGGCTCGGGCGCGGGGCCCCCGCAGCCGTTGCTGGCGGGGACCCGAGGCGCGGTGGCGGCGGGGCCCGGGCCGGGCCGGTGGCGGGGGTCCGGGGTCACCTTTTGGCCTCTGGAAGCTTTGGGGGTCCGGGCGAAGTCGTGCGAGCTCTGTCGTAAATCAGAGGAGAGGGTACCGCGGGCACCAGCGCCGCGTCTGCGGCGGTGTGTGGGGTGTGGAAGGATGGCTCTGGCAAGCGTTGGGGCAGGAGGAGGGGTGCCTGGGCTGAAACGGGTTCCGGGGAGAGTGGTGGAGATCTGCGGAAGGCTGTCCGGTTTCTGTGGGTCTGGGGGATGCTGAAAGTATGGAAAGCGTTGACATGCACGTAAAGTAAGCTACCAAAAGGTGACTGAAGCTTAACTGGCCTTGTGTGTTTTGTTGCTGGGTTTATGGCCTTTGAAGAAAGCCTACAATTGCTTTTTGGAGTGCTGTTAAAAAAGTACAATCTAAAAAAGTACTTTGACTTAATTGTAGGGGAGGAAAGGTGCTTACTAACTCTTAAATCACTTTTATTACACTTTTTTTCTCTTTATGCTTTTATCTGAAGTAGCACTTTCACCCTGTTCCACGGAGGGCTTTAGATTTCTTACATGTAATTTTGAGTCATCCAGGAAGCCCTGAAGACCCAACTCTATAAAAAACAAAAACATATTGGTAGCCTGTTATTGCAGGAGTTGTGCTAGCCTGGTGTCTCAGAAGTTGAGGACCCAAAAGGAATCTGGCTTCTATTGATGAACCTGTCAATCTTTCATCATAAGGAAGCAAAAAAAAAAACCTGGTGTTTTTCTCCTTTCCAGGTCACCTCTAAGGAAAGAGGATTTAGCGAAATACAGGCTATCATCAGGCAAGTGATGGAGATGTAAACTATGTGAGGCAGGGGCAGGACTTGTGCAGCCTGGAAGGTGAGGATGAGAAGTTTCAGTTTAACGTAGAAAGAGGATAAAAGTGAGTTGGAGGGAGGGAGAGAGAGAAAGTTGTTTGCCTGTGGTTTAGAAAAACTGAAGTGAAAGGTGTCAATGGGATGATTTAGGTAATAATTTAGAACAATGCCTGCCAAGGAGGCTAGCAGCCAGGACCCCTAAGTGCATTTCCAGGAAGTAGCAGGAGGAGGTAGATATTTAGAAATACTATCAGGAAAGTATTCAATTGGATACACTTCCTGTGAATGGAGGGAATAAAAGGGAAGAGTTAAGGAAGACAGAAAGAATTGGGAGGAGGATGGTAGACCTATTATGGGGGGGGAGGAGGAAGGAGAACATCAGGAAGAGTGTTGCAGAATCAACTCCTCTGAAACTAAAAAAACCCTCATCTTCATCCTGAAGTTTGTAGTCCAGTTATATATAATATATTATATTTTGGAGTTCTAGGAAACCGTGATATTCTGAGTGGATTCCCTACTGTCTGTGGCTGTTCTATCATACCATGAAGTCCTAGTTCACCCTTTTGGGAAATGGCAGTTAGGTGGTGTTTATAATCTGTGTTGTGAACAACTGTTAGATTAAACAGGTAATTGAAAAAAGGCAAATTAGTTAACTAGTGGCCAAAGCAGTCTACTGTTCTTCAGTTGTTATGTGTAATGGATATGTGGGTTGTGATGTACATTTAATATTCTTGTATCCTTTCAGCTTTGTGAAATTGTAATTTGTATCTCTGGCCCTTTGCAAAGACTTTTTCTAGTAAACTTGCAGTAGCAGAGTTGATATCATCTAAAACAATTGGAAAATGTCCCTGGCTTTCTTAATAACAAGGACAGTGGGGAAAAAGTTTTAACTACCTAGGTAGCATAAAAGGAGGTATGAAGAGAGGCTGCGGCTTTCATATAAGAATTCATTGGGCGCAGTATAGGAAACTTTAGAAAGAGTAGTGTGAGAAGTGGTGAATGGAGTGGTAAGGAGCCAAGTATTTAGGATTTGGATTTAATTCAGAGTGTAGTACAATACCAATAAAAGGATTTTTGAGTAACCAAGACCTCAAAATGCAGTCTGTGTAAATAATTTTTTGGTTACATACTGGGTTTGTGGAGCAGGGATACATTGGAAGAAACCAATTTTCATTCATCTGGTATTTCTGAAGGTCATACATAACTGTTTTCATGTTGTATGTAGTGATGATCAAGAAAAACCCTCAGTATTTCACCTTAGGGGACATAACCTGTACATGAATCATCTGTAGGGATTCTGAGGGGTTGAAATGCCTCTTCTATCCTGTTATCTTTATTGCTAATGACAGATGACTGTTTTCCTGGGTAAGAGGAAAAAATACATATGCAAAAGCTTAAGAGTAACTGTTAATGCATTATAACTTAACACAAAGTGTATACTTTTAAATAAAATTCTTCTCTCTTAGTGAAAGATGCAGAAAATAGCTTTTTAGTGAATAAGACTTTAATTTGATTCTAATAGTTAAGGAGGGAAGAAAAATAGGGGTTTCTTTTGTTTCCAATACCTAGATGGCCACACTGAGAGTGGTGATGTACTGTTGTATCAGGATTAAGATGTTGCTGCAGATTTGAATGTATGCACTGCTTTGTATACAAGGGTCGGATCTCTTATAGCAAGTTCTTTAATTATGTATTTGTGAGAGAGAACAGTTGGCTGCTTCTCTTGACTCTTAGACTGTACATCTGTTTGACTTAAAGTTTTTTCTCCTTAAGAAAACAATTTGGATTTCTCCAGTGTGAGGAGTGTCTGGATAGCATCTCATCATTGTTGCCTGGGATTCATCTTTCTTTTATGTATTTTGTGCTCCATACTCCTTTATTTTCCCTGCATAATTTCAGTCTGGAAGCAAACCGTGGATTTGTAACAAAGATGGTAAATAGCTGTTAAGGTGTAAGGAGCTTGTTACTTGAAATTCCTAGCTAAGGATTTTATACTTGTCTGAAGGATTGGCTATAGCATAAATACAAGAAGCATAAGAAGTAGGCATGACCATGAAGTGACACTACATTCTGGAGTTCTCTGGTCTGCAACATTTAGGAAACTAGTCCAGGTGATTATCATGATCCTTTATAGCCTCAAAATTGGAATTTCCATCCCTCTTGTCATTTTTTTTTTTTATTTCTAGCTCATGTTTAAATAACAGACTACATAATAGTCTTAAAATACCATCTTTCTGCATGCAGAATTCTTTGCAATCTATGGTAAAGGGCCATATTCCTGGACTAATGTGTGCACTTGAAGGCAGTGGTTAGTGGTCTGTCTAAATGGTGAGGTTTTATTATTTTTAATCCCTTTATTCATGTTGTTTTAATGCATAAATTACAGAATGATAGGAATTGCCATTAAAAATTTGAAATTATGTGGCAGTGGTTTTTTTATATGCTGTTAATCAATGTAAAAACATTTTTCAAGATTTATTTAAATAAAATTGCCAGATTGTGTGAAAATGTCTTAGAAATTATAGACATTACTCTATTGAGTGCACAGGGCAAACTTTACTTGAAAGTCAATCCTAACGCATTTGTCAAATTTTAGCAGGCAGAGGCCATTTGATATGCTATACATATTTTTAATGCAAAAACATTTTTTTAAGGAAATACCCAGAACTATTATATTCTGAATGGTATTAGGATGTTGAACCTTTACAGTGAAATTCTTGAG